AGCTGACCGAATGTTGTTTTGTCAAAACAAACTTGTTGAAAAAACGGCGGGCACAAGAAATAAAAAAAACTACGTCAAGATCTGAAGAAAGCCCGAGTAGAGAAGATGAGGAGGGTCTCAGGTCAATTTGTTTTCTGAAATCGAAAAAAGAACAGAGAGAAGATAACAGCTGGGAGAGAAGAGTTGCTCCTGGCTCAGAGGACCACTACTACAGCTGACCGAGAATGTTGTTAGTTCAAGACTCGGAGAGACACGTGAGAGAAAGATACTCTTGTTTTTTCCGGATGTACTTGGACAAACAATTGTTTCTGGGAACCTAAAGAAATGAGTTATCTAACGTTCCAATCATTTTGAAATTTTGACAGCAAGCGCAGAAGGGAAAAAAAGATACATATATAAAAAGGACTCAAAAAACACAGCTACAAGAGTCAAGATATTTTCGGGAAAGTAGCTGGTTAAGAGCAAAAGGCTTAATCTACATTTCGGGGTTTTCTACAAAAAAGTTGAGCTAAGAATCAAAATAATCGGACTGTATTGAGCACAGTTATGCGCCTTTGAATTTTTTTAGAGACACAGAGAAGCGAGATCACTCTCGTTTCTCTGCGTCTCTCAAAAACTTTAAAGGCGCATAGCTCGCTTCGAAATAAACTTGGAAAGTTGAAAATTCCACAGTTTTGTAGGAAATTTTAAGAGCTTTCTGGTTATATACTTTTTGAAAATCTCGAAAACATCTTTCGTTTAAAATCTATTATAAATTGCCTATTTTCAACAAATTTCCTGTTTTTTTGTCGTTTTCCGGGGATATTTTTTGGAATCTTATGAGAAAAAAACACTGGAAAACCAGACAAAACAAAATATTAATTGTAAAACCAATTTGCCGATTTTTTCCGAACTTCCCGAAAAAAATTTTCGGAAAAACTTCCCAAACAAGTATGGTCCTTGCTCATTTTTCAGCCATTTTAGGACAAATTGGTGTTTCGTGTCAAAAAGGAAAAAAATGTTTTTGGTGATGAAACGAGAGAGACCAACTCTTGTGTCCAGCAGCCAGCAATGTAATAAATATAAACAATTTGAGTTTGACACGTGACACCAAAGTCCAGTGCAAAGAGAGGAAGAGTTCGTAAAAGACCCAAAAAAAGCGAAAAAAGACATCAGCCCAATGCGGGGCTCAAACTCGCGACAACGAGATTAAGAGTCTGGTGCTCTGCCGACTGAGCTAACCGGGCGGATATAATAATAGGAGGAGAGGGCGGTTAATAGGTGCTGCAGCAAGAGAACCCACCGTGACTAGAGGCACCATGACATGCGCACAATCAATGCAGCATTTGCATCGAAAGTCCAACGAACAAGCGATGCATTGACCCACGAAATTGACAAGTGAAGACGAGGAATTACGAGCAGAAGAGCCGCGATGAGAAAGATCACGACTTCCACGTGAAGACGATGCACGATGATGTTGAGAATGCGTCGGTGGACCGGATGTTAAGTCAGAAGAACTTCGAGGCAAATGATGAGTTGGCATTAATACTTCTGGAGATTTTCAGAAAAAGAAATGGGTTATGTTTGGAAGGAAGCGGCGAATAGGATGAAAAAAAAATGTGAGAAAGTAAATATTTGGGTTATTACATTCTCTGAAATGAAGAGTAAGGAGAAAAAAAGGTGAATTCAGAAAATGAATCTGGATATAATTCTGTTTGGAGGAATTAGATTTCCGATCAGTTTGCAGATTAATAGCAAATTGAGCTGTTGCAAAAAAGGTTATAGGTTTTCTGACTTCTGGTTTGCTAATTTGAAACTAGAAGACAGAAAAATAAGAAAGTTTGCGAACTGTGGCCGAAAATTTGAAAGTGGGCGGAGCTTAGGTCCGGTAGCGAAATTCTTAAAGGATCATGTATATTTAATAGTTTTTCTGGCCTTTTTTTCGATTTTTAACTTCGTTTAAACAAAAAGTTGAAAAATCGCTAAAAATCGCTAAAAAATGAAATTTTATTTTCGATTTTTGATAAATTTAGAATTTAGAGATAATTTGTTTTAAATAATCCGACAAATCGCGAAAAAAGTGATTTCAGGATTTTACAATTTTGAAGATTTCTGAATTTCTGGAATTTCTTATTTTTTGAATTTCTGCTTTTCTGTATTTCTGATTTTCAGAATTTCTAATTTCTGAATTTCCAAAAAAAAACTCTTTAAAAAATCGGAATTTTGCTCTCTTGAATTTCGGCTCGGCGAAAAAAAAAAGAATTTTCAATCATTGTTCTGCAAAAAATGATCCTGAAAAAACAAAAAAAAAACCAGCCCTGACCAAAACACTAAAAGTCTGAAAATTTGATTTTTCCATTGATTTGATTGATCCATTTTGTTTTTCAAAAAGGGATAATCCCCTCCCCTCCCTCTTGATTAGAGAGACCTTTGACGCAGTTTATATGTTATAGAATGATAAATGATAATCTCTTTTTTCTCCTTTTTTTCTATAAGGCCGGCCAAAGTACTTCGCAGATATCACACCACACCCAAAAGGTTTTGTAAATCCACAAAATGATTATTTTTGAGACAAAAAACCCAATAAAAATTGTCAAAAAAAATAAAGAGGTTCTGAAGCAGTGACCGGATAAAGGGGAAGTTGTAGGAGTGTGTGAAAAAATGGAATGTGCAGTTCTCGGAATTCGGATTTTGATGAGTTGGGCAAAGAAATTTGGGCAATTTTCGAGAGTGAGTGAGAGAGAGAGGGGGGGGGGGGAGAGAATCGGACGAATTTGGACGACAGATATAGAAATGTGGTAGGACTTACAAGGGAACATTTTAAGTTGTCCGGCTGATTCGCATAAACCAACCGTAGAGAATGGAAGAGCATGATTGAAAACCTATAAAACCGTGTTCAAAATCTGTTTAAAGGTGGTGTGCGGTGAAAATTTTTATTGCTTTATTTTGTGCAGAAATTCATGTAGATTCCCATAAAAATAAAGAAAAAATTCGAAAAAATTCCTTCATTGAGAAAAACGGCATCGAAAAGTCAAAGTGGGAACCGGTGGCCTAGCGGCCAGGTGTGAGCTTTCTAGGCCAACTGCCGGTAAAAGCGCGCGGAATCCGAATTTTTATTGATTTTCAGTGTTTGCTCAGATTTTTGTCAGGTTTTTTTATACACCATGTAGGAAATTAACGAAAAAACTTTGAAATCTTTAAAAAACATCAGAGAAAACACTAAAAATCAAAATTCGAATTTCGCGCGCTTTTACCGGCAGTTGGCCTAGAAAACTCACACCTGGCCGCTAGCCCACCGGTTCCCACTTTGACTTTTCGATGCCGTTTTTCTCAATGAAGGAATTTTTTTCGATTTTTTTCTTTATTTTTATGGGAATCTACATGAATTTCTGCACAAAATAAAGCAATAGAATTTTTCACCGCACACCACCTTTAAGAAACCTCTAAAGTGCTGAAATTTCAGTTTTAGTTCCAAAAATCGCTTTTTCAGTGCAAAATTGGTTATCTCCACTCCTAGGAGGTTTCAGAACATGAAAGTTTTTGTGTTATACTTAAAATTATGTAGGATTTCATATTTCATCATTTTTCTCAGAAAATTTTTTTTGAAAAAATTCGAAATTTTTCTAACTCTTTGGGTGGGATGATTTTCTCGAATTTTTAATCATAGTCCTTGTAGACCCAAATACAACACTTTCAAACTGCTACTTTACAGTGATTCGAACTTGAAGTCTTTTTCAAAATTTTGGAAAAAACTTTTTTTTTGTCAAAGTTTCGTCTCCGCTTTTAAAAAGTGATCAATATTCTGGTAAAAGAAAAAAAATGACTCCAGAATGTCGTAACCGTACAAAACCAAAAAAAATCAGAAGGGTGTGAGTCGAATAAAACACATAAAACAACATTTTTTAAGGGGAATCCTACTTCTCAAAGAAAAAAAAGACGAGAATTTAGAGGTATATGAATACAGGGACAAATTGGCGGGATTTACATGAATGTCTGAAAATCTGTCGCCTCTCTATTCCTCTCCAAGTTTTCTCACACACCACACAAAAAACCAGAAGGGGAGGAGAGGATATTGGATTAGCAGCTGGAAAAAAAAACGCTCCTAGTCACCGTTTCTCACAATTAGCATACCATTGAATATCAGGAGACACAGAAAAATGGAGGTGGATGGGACAGAAAAAATGGAGAAGGAGAGAGGAGTTACGTGTTTTTTCACACGGTTTAGCACACGAAAAAGAGAGTCACAGAGAGAAGACACTAGACAAACATAATGAGAACACTTTTGGGGATTCTTTGCTTTTTAGAAGAAGCAGATGTTCTCTTCTAAGGATTCTTTGAATAATTGACCAATAAGCCATTTTGTCTATTGATGTCATTTTGGAAAACAGTGAGATTAGGGAAATGTCAGATGATCATTAGGAGCAACAAATAATAATGGACAAGGACACATCAGATGGATTAAAGAACCTAACAATCGGAAGGTGGATCTTTGTAGCTCACTAGAAGAATAAGGATGTGAAATTGACAATTAAAAAAATTTAAATTTAAAATTTAAACAAAAGAATCTAGAATCTACCGTAAATGCTTGGAAGCCCACTCTGACTTTGGGTCAGTTTACCTCGATTCCTGTGGAAGTTATCAAAAAGTGGAAAATTAATAAAATGTTTATCATAATATCACCAACAATTTATCAGTTTACCAATTTTTGATATCTTTCATGACAACCGAGATAATTGAGCTCAAAGTGAACATATTTGGGATTAGATCAAATACGGAAGTCAACTTTGAAGTCCTGAAAAAGTTGTCCAAAATTTTTTGTTTTCAGAGTATAATAAAAAAGTTAGAGCTTCAATTTTGTAGTTGACAACTTTTTTGTACAAATTCATCTAAATGAGATATACCACTTGAAACCAACAAAGTGCCAAAACTTCCAGAAATGACAATGAATTACAGTATGAGTTTTTTAAGAAATGAAGATGAAGAAAATAAAGTTAAAAACAGATAGATTCAGAATCTAGAATCTATAAGAGATCGACAATAATAATTGAGGAGAGTGAAGTTCCATTGAATTTTCTGTTTTTTACTTCCCAATGGAAAAAAAACCAGAATCTCCCCAAAACTGCATCCCCAGCTCTCGCGCCATACTTGTCCCAAGCCGGGCCGAATTTCAAAGAATATCGAAATTTTGAATTTGGCGAGGGATACTGTAGCAAGATTTCTATGTAATTCGAATTCTAACAAACTGATAGTGAGTTCGATAAAACCTTATGGCAAATTTTTCAAAAGTTGGCTACCCAACTGTATATTTCAGATCCAAAATCATACCCCCCCCCTCACAAAAATTGGTAAAAAACAAACTAACCCCAATAACCATTGATTCGCCACCATATGGGTTCTCTATCACTGATGGTAACCCATATTCACTTAATAATCCATTAATAGGCAGTGGTCTCTGCTCCAGAAGTGTGGCGACTGCTCGAAGACACGTGGCAACATTTCCAGGTAACTCTTTATTCATTAACATATCAGCTATCAATCCTTTCGCTTCGCTCAACGAAGAACCGGTTATCTGGAACATTTTTATATCAATAATGCACAAATGACATGGCTCTGCAGGTGCTTTTTTTCCATGCAGGTGATTTATGAGAAACAATTTAGAAGAATTTGATGAAGAAAATAAATCCTGGCCAAAGTTCGCCAAAAATTTCTGCAGAACACTGATAAAGATACTCAATGAAAAGATAGAAAGTGTTCAAAAAAGGAATCAGAGAAAACTAAAGAGAGAGAGGCTCCGCCCACTTCTCCGATTTTTCCACAATCGGAAGCCATCCATCAAACGATGTCTGTGCGAAAAGGGGACGCGCAAAGATAATTCAGAGGTTTTTGATCTTTTTCTCAGAAGAAGTGATAATGATGATAAGGAAAATATTGCAGTGCAGATATCTAGCTAGGCATCTTCGGACTTTTTTGAACTCACCAAACTTTTGGTTCCATTCAGCGATAAACTATTTGCTGGTAAACTGGTCCTCCTCTGCCTCATTGCTTCGTTAAATGTTCGTTGCATATGACTATCAGACATGACTCCACGCCCTCGACCGCCAAGAATTGGTAGGCCGATCGAGCCAATTCCAGAGCCTGCAAAAATTTGGAATTTTAGATGTTTATTGGTTTAGAGGGGTTCGGAAAATGGTACGATCTACAGTACTGGGCTGAAAATGATGTTTTGGCAAAAAAAAAATCTAGGTGACAAAAAGAAAGATTGTAAATTTTCAGATGTCACTTTTAAAGAATTCAAAAATCCATACTATTCCATCTCAAAAGTATATCTTGTATGAGGAAGATCACCCTATATAAAGCAAGATAACTTTTTTTTGAACTAGATAAAAATATAATTGGATAAAAGTGAAAAATTGAATTACTGTAGTTTATTAAAAATTTCGGATTTCCAGAAAAGTTATATGTCAGATTTCTCGGAGTTTCCAAAAATCACAATTTTCTCGGACGATTGTTTTTTTTTGGGGAATGACTTGAAACTTCTGAAATTCGTGAAGCTAAAAAAAATCTGGGAATAGCTGATAACAAAACATGATAAGCTAAAAATCTGGAAATTGCGAAGTAATGGAAACATAAAAAAAACCTTGAATGATAAAAAACGAGAATTCCCCAATTTTACACTAAAGGATTCGGAAAAATTCATGATGGAAAAAAAAGGTAATATGAAGGTGATAGCGAGAATTTCTTAAAAACTGAGCTGGGTCGGAAAAATGGAAAATACCGTGAAACCTGTAATAGGAGGGCCCTTACTAGTTCGATTTTTCTTGGCTTCTATGTAAGATATCAAAAATTTGCCAACTGATAAAATCCTGGTAAATTATGATAAACAATTTAAAAATTGACAAATTTTTTGTACATTCAAAAAGTACCGAGATAAATTAGCTCAAAGGTAAAAAATAGTTGCGCATCTTACACTTCCGCATCATACAAATACCGTACCACTGACCTTGCACTTCTAATCATTCATCATCGAAAATCATTGAATTCTCACCACTAAAAGGTGTCCTAATCTAAAAGGTCATTTGGCAACAAAATCTACATTTTCCTACACAAAGTTCAATCTGATCTCACACTTGATAGAACATGAATATCTCAATGATCACAGAACTATCAAATCAGTTTCAATACTAGTCAATAGTCAGATATACGAACGGATCTTCTTTTTGAAAAAATGCACAGGAAGTGCGTGAAGCTGATGATGATGGATGTCTGGAGAAGCGGAAAAGAGGAAAAAGTGTTAAAAGAGGAAGACACTTGATTCGAATTACGCAAAACTGGAGGAGGATTCTCTTGAGATTCTTTGGAAGAAGTGGGTTTGAACGGAACACGGAAAAGAGAGAAATTTCACAAATTTCTTGTGAAATGTGTGAAGAGGAACCAACATGTGATCTGAGAAATCAGGGTTACTTCTTGTTTTGACAACAAAAAGAATTGAAGGAAAATAGTGCGGAAACAATGGGACAGGGATCACAAGGAATGTGACTTTTGTTTGATTGCGCTCAATGTGCTCAAAAATTGGAAGTAAATTTTTAGCCAATTTTGTATAGCAACTACCGTATTAACTCTGCTAAGTAAAATTTTCGAATTATTTAGGCTTTTGTAATAATTCGTTGTAATAATTTGAAACTTTTGGAAATCGTGAAACTTCTAAAAAATTGCTAAAGTTATGGGAATAGCTCATAACAAAACATTCGAAACTTAAAAATGTTTTTCTCAGTTGGCCTTTGATATCTCATACATGAATCGAGATGCCGTAAACCCTCTAACAGAATGGCTCCTCAAACTTTTAAATTTGAGCCCACATATCTCGGTGTCTGTATAAGATATCAAAAAATTGCCAACTGATAAATTGTTCATCATAATAATGGTAACGTTTTAACAGTTGACAACTTTTTGGTATCTATTACAGTAACCGAGATAAATTGGCTCAAAGTTAGAAGCTAGGAGACCCTTCTATTACAGGTTTAAAATTGAGCTCAGAGTGCCGGTCTATTAGAGGGAATAGGGTAGTTTCTTGAGTCCATCTAAAATTGTGAAATCAATCTGATTCAGAAGTGCTCTTTGAGAATCTAAGCTAAGAATTGTGACGTTGTGAAAAAGTGATAGCAAAAAGTAGAAGAGTTTGACACCAAACAATTTAAGTGCTGTTTTTTATTATGGTCACAAAAAAGCGTTGAGGGGATCATGAACGAAATAAAAACTTTTGTTTCCTTTCTCCTCATTTTTTTCTTTTTTTCTTTTTTTCTAGGTTTGTTTTGTTTCATAGTGAGCATCAATTTTGCTCATTTGGGAGAGCTCTATAATTAAAATCAGTTTCTTAGTTTTCTCAGAAATCAGAGACCAGGTAGTAGTAATTAGTAGTAATTATCTTGCAAGAAAAAAAAACAAAAAAACGATGTCTACAGGAAGAGAGAGGAGGAGGAGTTTTGTTTATTTTGTGATTTTTGTAAACGTTGTGTGTTTGAAAAAGGTATAAAAGAAGAAGAAAAAGAAGAAGGAAAAGGAGACGATGGAGAAGATGATGAAAAATGGGTTTCCGGTCAACAGATAATTTGATAACAATGATTGAAAAGATGAAGATGATGGAGAGCGATGGAAAGAAAAAGGGAAATATATCATGTAGAAACAGATAGAAAAGGAAATGAATGGATGGATGGATGGAGATAGATCACACAATTTGTGTATTTTGTACAATTTGATTTTTAATAGTTTAAAAAGTCTTTTGTTCTGGCAAAAGAAAAAATTTTCAAAAATAAAAAGGATCTAGGTTTTTGAATATTTTCAAGGTTACACATACTAGAAACTACATTATTCAGATGGCGGTAATCCAATTTCGGCTTTTCAAGATTTAGGGGAAAAACCAAATATCGAGGAAGGCAAAAACCGGACAATCATAAGCAGATTCTTAATTCAATTTTGAATTTTTGTTTAACTTCTGGAAATAGGCAAATTATGATTTTTGCCATCAAATGATTTTCTAAAGATTCCGAGATTCCAAAAAACACAAAAAAAGGTAAATGAAAGTTGTCAATCACTAAATATCAATTTTTGTTGACAATTTTCTGAAATTTTTGAAAAATGGGATAAATGTTTTTGATTATCGATGTTGAGCATAATTTTTTTTAAATCTACTAAATACCGTAAACACTCTAATAGAATTCCACCCGGACAGTCAACTTTGATCCTGTATATCTCACTTCTTTTGAAAGATATAAAAAAGTTGTCAACTAATAAAATGTTTATCATGATATCAGCAACATTTTAATAGTTAAACACTTTTTGATATCTTCTATAGTGAATGAGATATAGGGGCTCAACGTTGACGGTTCGGGTGGCGTTCCATTAGTGTTTACGGTAAATTATCACATTCTCTCTAATAGAAGCCCACGCCATAAACATCAACTATGAGCACGATTATATTGGTTCCTTCAAAAGATATTAAAATGTAGTCAACTGCTAATATGTTTATCATAATATCACCAATATTTTATCAGTTGACACTTTTTTGGCATCTTTTGAGGGAATCGAGATAATTGAACAAAGTTCGAGTACTGGGTGGGCTTCTATTGGAATACGGTAGCTAAATTACAGTTTTTCAAGTCCTGATCAACGAAAAAAAAATCGTATGTCTCTTAAACAAATTTTAAAAAAAGTATTCCATTAAGCAAGTTTCCGCAAAAAAAAATGAAAAATTGAATTAAAAATCCGCCGTCTCAAGTTTTTGATTCAATGTGTAAATGTGATAAGTTCGATATGGGATTAGCGAAGAAAAAAGAATATGATGATGAATTCACGATTCTGTTCAAACGGAAAAAAATGATTGTGAAGGTAGGGGTGCGAAGATTAAAAATCGAAGACTTTCAGTGACCTAGAAAATTTCCTACTTTTTCAGATCTCGAGTATTTGGCTAGCGTGCAAAAGTGCTCATAGATTCCTGAAAAACACATTTTTTATTACTCTGCAAAATATTTTCAGCTTCTTTTTTTTCTGAAATAATAACCGTTTAGGGTGTCGCACCTAGAAAGCTGAAAAACAAAACCTCAATGTCAATAAAAAAGCTCCTTTTTCTCTATTTTCTAGACACAAAAATGAATTGTGAAGACGTGATTTCGACATATAAACAAAACACGACGAAAATTCGAAGTGAGAGCTCTTACAGCCAAAAAATAAAGGAACAGGGAAATTTTTGTCGTCGCGGACTCTCCCTGTGAGCATTTACAACTAGACAAAAACAGAGGAAATATAGGCGTCACTCTCGAGAAAAGAGAAAAAATGTGGAAAATTGAGCAAGAGAGAAAGCAAATTAAAAGAGAAAATTAATCGGTTTGGGTGGCCGGCAGGACACACACAGTGATTTTGATTTTGGGGTCTAATAATTTTTTTTATTGTTTTTTGGCAAAATTTTTTGGGTGATTAACTTTTTTTTGTTAAAGGTGGAATGAAAATGAAGGAAACATTAAAAATCGAAACTCTGAGATTCTGAAAGACTAAGATTTTATGGTTTTGGGCTTCTGAGATTCTGAGATTCGAGAATTCAGAAATTCAGAAATTCAGAAATTCAGAAATTCAGAAATTCAGAAATTCAGAAATCCAGAAATTCAGAAATTAAGAAATTCAGAAATTCAGAAATTCAGAAATTCAGAAATTCAGAAATTCAGAAATTCAGAAATTCAGAAATTCAGAAATTCAGAAATTCAGAAATTCTGAGATTTTAAGATTCTTAGATTTTAAAATTCTGAGACACTGGGATTTTGAGATTCTGAAATTTTGCAACTCTAAGATTCTGACATTCTGACATTCTGAAATTCTGGAATGCTAAAATTCTTTCAAAATCGGAATATTCCAAAATCACTAAATTCTGAAGCTCCGCAGTTCATAAATTCCGAAATTCTGAAATTTTCAAATTCGGAATTTTTGACATTCCGGAAAATGTCGAAAAGCTAATTCCAAGCCTCCATGTTATAAAAGCGTCTGATATATAAACGTTGGTGGCCTAGAAAATACACTTTTCTAAAAACTAGGTCATCAAAATTAGAAAGGCGAATCGAGTAAATACGAATGATTGTTTGGACTGGCGCCCCCGAATTTTTATTTTTCCATGCATTTTTAATTTATTTACCCCCTCAATTACCCAAAAGACAATGACCCCCAATTTATATTCAATTCTTTTAATTGTTCATCCAAAAAAAACGAAAAATAAAAAATAGAAGATCATAGGTCCATGAAGAAATATCGGAACTAAAAGTGACTCTGAAAATGGAATACACCTTTTCAGAAACAAAAAACTTCCATAAAATGAATAATTTTTGTTAGTTTTGAGAAAGTTTTATGTAATGAGAAAAAAGGAGGAGGAAGAGTTGGTTGGTACTTTAATTTTTTTTTTCCTTCTAGAAGAATTTTGCCCAGGGCAAAAGAGTTTTTTGAGCTGAAAAAGGGAAATAGAAAAGAGCATCGAGTAATTTTGTTATTACGTATCATTTTTTTTGTTTGTTCTGGAAGGAAATTTTTGATCTGGGTGGACTAGAGAAAAGTTGGATAACGAGCGGAATGAGTAAGACGGAAAAACAAGAATGGTGGGCGTTAGAAAAAAATGGATTCTGGAATTCTAGGGTTCTAGAAGAGATCTAGGGAAATTGGAATGCGTGGGAAATTGGAAAAAAAATGGAAAAGAGATCAATTCTGGAAGTGATAAAGTACCTAGATTACAAAATTAAGCATTTCTGACGACACTTTAAAACCAACAATTAATATTTCAGACATTTTCAGATGTCCCAATTTGAGATTCTGAGATTCTTAGATTCTGAGAGTTTGAAATTCTGAGATTCTGAAATTCTGAGGTTCAGGAGTTCAAGGATTCTGAGATTCTGAGATTTCAAGATTCTGAGATTCCGAGATTCTGATATTCTGAGATTCCGATATTCTAAGATTCTGAGATTCTGAATTTCTGAAATTCTGAAATTCTGAGATTCTGAGTTTTATAGATTTTGAGAGTCAGAGATTCTGAAATTCTGAAATCCTGAGATTCTGAAATTCTGAGGTTCAGGAGTTCAAGGATTCTGAGATTCTGAGATTCTGAGATTTCAAGATTCTGAGATTCTGATATTCTGAGATTCTGATATTCTGAGATTCCGATATTCTAAGATTCTGAGATTTTTTATTTCTGAAATTCTGAAATTCTGAAATCCTGAGATTCTGAAATTCTGAGGTTCAGGAGTTCAAGGATTCTGAGATTCTGAGATTCTGAGATTTCAAGATTCTGAGATTCTGATATTCTGAGATTCTGATATTCTGAGATTCCGATATTCTAAGATTCTGAGATTTTTTATTTCTGAAATTCTGAAATTCTGAGATTCTGAGTTTTATAGATTTTGAGAGTCAGAGATTCTGAAATTCTGAAACTATGAGATTCTGAGGTTCTGGGAATCTGAGATACTGAGAATCTGAGATACTGAGATTCTGAGATTCTGAGATTCTGAAACTCTGGAACTCCGATAATACTGAGTTCTGGAATTTTCAGATTTCCAAATTCCTAGGGATTGAAAACCAAAAAAATCCTTTTTGAAGAAAATCGTGAGAATTTGAAAAACCTTTTTTATAGAAAAGTCACGCACAAAAATCCGACTTTCATACATTTTTCCTGAACCGTAACTAAAACCTTCCTCCTGATTCGAAAATGTTTTTAAATACCAAAAACAGTTGAAGACCAATTTTTTATTTTGATCAATTTTCAAAAAAATCAGCAATCAACAAAAATGATGTCAAAAAACTTTTAAAAGTTACTTTCAATGTTCATTTATAATTGATTTGAATTAACTTCTTGGAGGTCATTTACGACAAAAAATTGTGTGACTTTCAAAAGCGAAGTTAGACATCATTGGGTATTTTTAGTGGGAAACAAAAACAAAAATTGTTTAAAAAAGCAATTTTTAGGAAGTTCATAAAGCAATTGGGGTTTCCTGTTAACCAAGTTCCAATATTTTGTTCAAACATCACTTTTTGCATGGGATCCTTTTTCCCGGAACCCAGAATTTTCGAAAAAAAATTAAATTATCTCTGTCAATTTCAAAAATTGGAAAAAGATGCAAAATTTCGGAGTCCACTCAATGCAAATGAATTGGAAATTGGGAAGAAAATAAACCAAAAATTAACTGAAAACAAGGGGAAATCAAGGAAGGCCCGACCAAACAATCAACTTTGAGTTTATATATCTCTATTCTTTTCAAAGATATTAAACATCTGTCAACTGATAAAATATTTATCATAATATCATCAATATTTTATCAGTTGACAACTTTTTGATATCTTTCACAGAACTCGAGATAATTGAGCTCAAAGTTGTCGGTTGAGGTGAGCAATACAGTAACCATACAATTCTGCAAAGTCTAGAAAGTTTTAATGAAAAAATTAATGAACTGAAAATGGAAATTTTTGCATTTTTTGAATCTTTTAGAAGTATTGAAATTTGAAAATTTTAAAAGCAATTTTTAGGTCCTAAGCTCAAAAAGACGCAGAATAAAACACCAAAAAATGAACTAAATCATGATATATTTGCCCGCAGCCGAAAGTATAACATTCTACATCTCCATTCCGAATCGTTTTTCGGAGAAAATGACAACTTCCGAATATTCTTTCTTTTTGCTTCGTATATTTGTGATTTCACTTTTCTGCGTTCTCCAGAATCCATTCTGGTTTCCTTATTTGTCTAGATACATTACAAAGAGAGTTCTAGAACAGGATATCTAGACTACCGTAGTTCCAGTAATAGGGGACTTAGATTCAAATCGTCGAAGGTTCTATGGAAGAACTTCTTCCAAAGAAGTTAAACTATCTTATAAAATTTAAAGTCTATTTTAACTATTGAAAGTCTATTTTGAAATTGTAATTGAAGACATCTAATACCCATTGTAACCTACATATAGAAAAGATAAAAACTTTAAAAATGATAAAAAATGAAAATTCAAAAAAAAGATGAAATAAGAGCTCACACTGAGTAATTGATCCTCGATGCTGCATCATCGTAGAACTGCCACCCGACGACGTCGACGTAGCATCCCGATTCTTACGCATTTCAGCCTGCAAGAAAAAAGAAAAGAATGAAAAAGTAACAAAAAATGCGGAAATTGAAAGAAGAATGGAAACGGAGGAGTAGTAAGATATGCTCTTTTTCTGTGTGTGAAGACGGAAAACTTTTTTTCAGAAGACTACGACGACGACAAAGGTCGAATTGCATCTGGAGAGGAGGAAGAGCAACAACTAAAACAGGGAATTGCTTAGTGTTTTCGGTTTTTTTTTTGCCAAAAAGAGATTTTTTGTAGTAGAGTACAGAGATTCGAGTTATTTCTATGATAAAAAGAGTCATTTACTAGGTTTTTAGTTACCGTAAGCACTTTACTAGAGTGCCACTCAAACCGCTAACTTTGATATATCTCGACTCCCGTAAAAGATACCAGTTAACTGATGAATTGTTTATCATAATACCATAAACATTTTATCAGTTGACACATTTTTGATATCTTTTGCAGAAAATGGGATCTCGTAAAAACTCTATCAGACTCCGAAATTCTTTAAAAAAAAAGAAGAAAAATTAAAAAAAAACCTCTGAAGTCATTTTATGAAAAAGTTGAAAATCGAGTCCTTTTGTGATGAGTTTCAGTAGAAATTGACTCCGAACATTAAAGTGCCAGCCTCTAATTGAATGCCACCCCCTAATACAGTGCCACCCCAGACCATCTCCGAACAATACAGTACCATGGCTATCTAATAGAGTTTTTACGGTATATGAGCTCAAAGTTAACGGTTTGGGGCGCATTCTATTAGAGTTTACGGTACGTTTTCTATCAAAAAGAGTATTGTGACGTTGATTTCTGTTGTCCCTGTACACTTATCTCTCGATTCTTTTCACTCTTTTCAAAAAATTGGCAATTAACTAATCAACTTTGGTCAATAAGTGACATAAAATGATTTACAGCAAGACAACGCCTGTCTCGAAAACTATGGTTGTTACGATTATGGGAAATTTCCCGTAGGCATACAAATTTGTAAATTATTGTATGTCACAAGTTGAATGAATTGATCACTTTGAAAAAATCTATGAAAAAACAGAAGAAATTCAAGATTTCGAAGACAATATCAGAAAAAAATCTCAACTCCCCGCCCTCTTATATTATGATAAATCGCTCAGCAGTTCGCTATTCTTGAAAATTCGGTACAAAAAATCCGATACTGTATTTTCTCTAATAGAAGCTCCACCCAGACCGTCAACTTTCAGCTCAATTATCTCGGTTCTCTTGAGATATGCCAAAAAGTGGTCAAATGATAAATTACTTATCATAACATCATCCACACTTTATCAGTTAACCGCTTCTTGATACCTTTGGTGGCCACCGAGATTATTGAGCTCAAATTTGACGGTTTAGGTGTGATTTTATAAGAGCATTCAAAACAATTGGGTTCAAAACTACCGTAAACACTCTAATAGAACGCCACTCGGACCATCAACTTTGAGCCTATATATCTCACTTCTTTTGAACGATATCAAAAAGTGATCAACTAATAACATGCTTACCATTATATTAGCAACATTTTACTAGTGAACTACTTTTTGATATACTTCACAGAAAATGAGATACATGGACTCAAAATTGACGATTCGGGTGGCGTTCTATTAGAGTGTTTACGGTATGTATGTTTGAAATCTCTGAAAATCACAGATGTAAATTTTGAAATTAAAAACCTATATAGAAAGCCACAAATAATGAGTAGGAAAATGAACTAAAGTTAAGAAATCTTCTTTGAAAATGTGCTCAAATATAATGTCCGAGATGAATTCTTCGGAATAATAAAACCCAGATGTTTCCCTTCCGTTTTCTATTGTTTTCGTTAAAAGTATACTCTTTGGGAATCCGGGTAAAGTACATCCAAAATAAATCCAAACAAAAAACTCCCCCCTCCGTAGTAAGGGTCAAAGCTTATTCACCGATTCTTTTTGGTCATCATCCGGTTGAATGGATTCAAAAAGAAAAAAGAAGAAGAAGAAGACTTTTCGGTGGGAAGGCTACTCATTTATATACGAGAAGAAAAAGAATGAGTCCTTTTTCCAAAAAAATATTCAGCCGAGAAAAATGAGAAAAATTGAATGAAAATGACAAGATACGGTTATTTTGCATAGATTCTAAACAATGAAGAAAGAGGAAAAAAGAAATACGAACCTAATTTAAAAATAAAGTAAGCTGGGAAAGAATGAACATAATAAAGTGTTATTTCCCGTTATTTTTACCTAGTCTAGAAGAAAAAAAAATAGAAGAAGTGAGAAGAACAATTGAAGAGGAAAAAGCGATGGGAAGGACCTCCTTGAATGCTTTTACTCACTCACGGGATCTCGTTGACGGGATAATGTGACACTTTGGATAGAAGGAGAAAAAAAGAGAATAGATGGATTCTTATACTTGAGTGAAGTAAACTCATCGAAAGGTGGAATTGAGGGAACGTAACCTCAAATAGCAGGGCCCCCACATTATCAAGTTTGAACTAATTTTTCTCGATTTTGATGAGAGATAGCAGAAATGTGTCAACTGATAAAATTTTTGAGATATTATGGTAAATAATTTACCAGTTAACAAAATTAGGATATTTTTACAGGAACCGACATAAGTTGGTTCAAAGATAAAAGATAAAGGGCCCTTCTATTACAGGTTTTACGGTATTAAAATCAGTCAATTTTTGAAACATTTTCAGAATCTTCTGGAAACACATGTATCTTAGAATCTTAAAGGTGGGGAGACATGAAAAAATAATGTTCTCGAAATTCCGTTCAAAGATGCCCCTCGAGGAGTTGAACTTGTGAAGGCGAGGAGTGAGGGTGCGGCGCCGCTACCGACTGAGCCACGCGTGAAAAGAGAAAGCGGACGCCCGATTGCATACATAAAGGCGAGGACGACAGCTGTACGCAGAGTGACATTAAGCGTTGTACACCGTGACGGTAGAATGCATGCTCTAGCTACAAAAAAACTACGAAAAATCTCCTGTCCCCCCACCTTTAAAGGTTTTTTTTTTCAAAATTTTTTCTGAACCTCATAACCCAAAAATGCAAAGTTCTGAAATATCAAGATTTACTTCTACTGAAAAAATAAAGCTTGACAAGCAAATCCCAGGATCCGGAATATTTGACAGATCAAAAAATGTATATCTGATTTTGATCCTGTGGTCCTCCACAAAAAAATCAATTAACGTAAACACTCAAATAGAACCCCCCCCCCTCCAAATCGTCAAATTTGAGCTCATATATCTCAATTTCTGGAAGAGGTATCAAAAAGTGGTCAACTGATAAAATGTTTATCATAAAATCAAAAATATTTTGTCAGTTGACAACTTTTTTATATCTTTCACAGGGACATGGATAAATTGGCTCAAAGTTGAAAGTCAGGGAAGGGGCATTCTATTAGAATGTTTACGGTAATTACACAAATAAAGAAAAGCCAATTAGCAACCATTCAGGGTTTTTATGGATTTTCCTTATCCCAAAATTGAAAAAAGAATTGAGTTTTTAAGAAAAAAATTACTAAGTTGGATATCAGGGTTGGACCTTGAATTTAAGTAGAATAGTTGAAACTTTGACCCAAAATTCCAAGCAAAATAGAAGATACTGAACAATTAAACAAATTAGTTTCCGGTTTTTCAAAATATCTAGACATCTCCAAAACCAATAAAAATCGCAAAACACATGTTTCAATTTTTCCTCTTCTTCCTACTGGAATCCGTTACCAGGATCCCGATTTTGTGTTTTCTTCTTCTTCTTTTTCCTTTATCTTTTCTTCTTCTCGTAAAATCCTTAAGAAAAATAGACGAATTCGATTTCGAATTGGTTGGTCCATTCCACATGATTTATAGAGGGACATATGGTGCTGGATAGAAAGGAAAAAATGGAAAAGAACAGAGAAGAAAAAATTAAAGTGTTCGGTTTTATTGCACAATGAAAGAGAAATGAGAGGAAAAGAGTTGGAGGAAAGGAAATAAAAGAGGAAGAATAAGAAACAAAGTGATTAGGTTTGGAAATGACTCAAAAATATTACTGGAATCTATGAAAGTACTAAATTCTGAGCCGATTTCAGAAATTTTTTTCACAGGAATTCTCTGCAAAATTTCCGAAAATAGGCTTTCAATTTTTAAAGGGGGGCGTCCACTAATTCCAAAATTTTTGAGATTTTTATATCAATCGATCCAGAATTTTGGGTCGGAAAAAAAACTCTCTTGGAGGATAGACTCAAAATCGCTCGTTTTTAAGATAAATGTCAAAAACATGTCAAAAAAAAATCAACGTAGAGGGTGCAGATTAGGAAGAATAATAGGGAAAATTATTCACGAAAATAATTGGGTTCGAAAATGAATAAGCCTCTGAAATTCTGTGCGAATTGTCTTCAAAAATAGTGCATTGCACAAAAAACGAATCTACAGTAATCAAAATCGGTTTTTCGATTTTTCCCGACCAGAATTTTCAATTTTTCAGCAATTTTCAGCCAAAACCACATTTGAGCTTTCTTGTTGAAAAAATCACAAAAAATCCATCTTTGGGATCTGTGATTACTTTAAAGAATCTGGATTTTTTAAACTCTAAACTCTGAACTGGAACTTTGCAAATAATCAAAACGATTCGCAAGTGGTGTAAAAATGAGTTTTTTTTTCAGATTTTCAGAATTTCCACAATTTTTAAAGCTACAATTTTTACTGTATTTTTTAAACCCAGCAAAATTCAAAGCTTCATAATCAAACTACAACATAAAAAAGGAAATTTGCTTTAGTTCGATTTATCTGCATGTCGTGCTATTCGTCGCTAAATGCTCTTTTTTGGGAAATTGAATTCAAAGATTCTCTAACCTAGATAAGAATTCGAAATGATTTTCTTGAACTCGACAAAAAACCTATTCTACAAACAAAGAATTATTGAAAGATTTTATTCGAAAAAAAATGGGAGAAATGCATCAGCTGTGGGTGCCCCACTACGCTTGAATATCATAAAATGCATGAGATTCTATACACCCTTTCTTTTTTGACACATGAAAACCACAAAGAAATGGGATTGAAAAGTAAAGAAGAAGAGAATCCTGCAGCTGTGTGATGAAATGACAAAAACACATCTACTAGACATCAGCATTCTGGCTCATAATGACCAACTCGTGTTTTCCGAAAAAAAACACGTTCTTCCAAAAAAACTAGAGTCACCAGAAATTCTGAAAATGAGCTAATGTGTGAGTATCTTCTCCCATGTGTCCGTCATGTGGTCATGAGAAAAGTGTCAGTTTTCAACAGGAAAAATTAAAGAAATTGTAGGAGGGAGGATACTTGAACGAAAGTTTCCAAACGATCTTGAATCTTGATCTTTCGGGACCCGGAGATTCTAAGATTCTGGAATTCTTAGTTCTGAAATTCTAAAATTCTGAGATGTTTAGATTTTCAGAAATGAAGGGATATTGCTCACTACATCTTAAAACAGAAATTTAGAAATTTCAGACACTTTCAGATTACCCAATTTGGGCAGGGAACCAAAAACCTACAAATTCGAATTTTCAGATAAACTGCGAAATGAATATTTGAGATTCCGAAATTTCGAGATTCCGATATTTGGAGATTCTGAGATTCTGAGATCCGGAGATTCTGAGATTCTGAGATTCTGAGATTCTGAGATTCTGAGATTCTGAGATCCGGAGATTCTGAGATTCTGAGATTCCGAAATTTTGAGATTCTGAGATTCTGAGATTCTGAGATTCTGAGATTCTGAGATTCTGAGATTCTGAGATCTGGAGATGCTGAGATTCTGAGATTCTGAGATCCGGAGATGCTGAGATTCTGAGATTCTGAGATTCTGAGATTCTGAGATTCTGAGATTCTGAGATTCTGAGATTCTGAGATCCGGAGATTCTGAGATTCCGAAATTTTGAGATTCTGAGATTCTGAGATTCTGAGATTCTGAGATTCTGAGATTCTGAGATTCTGAGATTCTGAGATTCTGAGATTCTGAGATTCTGAGATTCTGAGATTCTGAGATTCTGAGATTCTGAGATTCTGAGATTCTGAGATTCTGAGATTCTGAGATTCTGAGATTCTGAGATTCTGAGATTCTGAGATTCTGAGATTCTGAGATTATGAGATTCTGAAGTTTTGAGATTTTGAAGTTTTGAGATTTTGAAGTTTTGAGATTCTGAGAATCTTAGATTCGGAAGCAATTTTTGAGGAGCAGGACCTTCGACTCACAGAAAACTACTTCTTCCTCTTCTTTTTTTTTCAACAATTTCTTCCCATGTGGAAAAAAAACATAATTTGTTTTAAAAAGTTTGTCAAAATAACAAACACCAACTTCCTTTTGTTTTGATATGATAAATGAAGGGATATTGCTCACTACACTTAAAACAGAAATTTAGAAATTTCAGACACTTTCAGATTACCCAATTTGGGCAGGGAACCAAAAACCTACAAATTCGAATTTTCAGATAAACTGCGAAATGAATATTTGAGATTCCGAAATTTCGAGATTCCGATATTTGGAGATTCTGAGATTCTGAGATCCGGAGATTCTGAGATTCTGAGATTCTGAGATTCTGAGATTCTGAGATTCTGAGATCCGGAGATTCTGAGATTCTGAGATTCCGAAATTTTGAGATTCTGAGATTCTGAGATTCTGAGATGCTGAGATTCTGAGATTCTGAGATTCTGAGATTCCGAAATTTTGAGATTCTGAGATTCTGAGTTCTGAGATTCTGTGATTCTGAGATTCTGAGATTCTGAGATTCTGAGATTATGAGATTCTGAAGTTTTGAGATTTTGAAGTTTTGAGATTTTGAAGTTTTGAGATTCTGAGAATCTTAGATTCGGAAGCAATTTTTGAGGAGCAGGACCTTCGACTCACAGAAAACTACTTCTTCCTCTTCTTTTTTTTTCAACAATTTCTTCCCATGTGGAAAAAAAACATAATTTGTTTTAAAAAGTTTGTCAAAATAACAAACACCAACTTCCTTTTGTTTTGATACACCCGTTCCAGTATTTTCCTATTTTTCCTTTTTCAGTTTGAAAATAGACAAAAGAAATTTGATCCAGAAGGAAGGAGAGAGAACTTTTCGTCTCGTGAGAGCTCTGAATACTTTTTAGAGATCACAATTTCACTATGGATGGGAAAATAAATACAAATTACTATTCAAAAGGTGAATGTTCTGGAAAAAAATTTAGAACAAAAGTATACGGAAAGTGGGTAAAAATTAAAAATGTGTAGATTTACGGAAGGCTGTCGGAAACAGGGCCGCGATCGGCCGTGATTGAGGCCGTCGGTATGTTACCGTGGGCCAATCAGTCCGTTCTTTCGAAAATAAGCTTAGCCAGCCAAAAACTACCAGGGCCGCTAGGCCGCCGAATCCTACCTATTTCAGAAGTACCTGAACTAAAAATGCCTCGGCCCAAATTCGACAGCCTTGGATTTACGGAAAATTTGAGCTCGTGTATCTCGATTCCTGTGAAAGGTATCAAAAAAGGGCTAATTGATGAAATATTAGTTATATTTTGATAAATAATTCATTAGTTAACAATATTGTGATATCTTTCATGAGCATTTAAATAAATGAGCTCAAAATCGAGTGAGCGTAAAACCGACTGTTAGCTTTGAGCTGAATTTCCTCGATTCCTTCCAAAGATATCAGAATTATGTCAACTAATAAAATATTGATGATAATATGATAAACATTTTATTAGTTAACACATTCATTCTATGTCCCATAGGAACCGAGATAATTGAGCTCGAAATTGAAAAGTAAAAAAACTAAACTAACCGATAAACGCGGCGAGCGATCTCTCAATTTTCCAGGAGGCGTTTGATGATAATGATTTTGAAAGTGATGATGCCCGGAATGAATCGGTGGAGCACTTCCCGGTACCAAAACGGGCGGACTGATCCCACCGGGCGGTCCCGGAGACATCTCCGACTCGGATCGATAAAACTTTGGACGTTGGTAAGACGACATAGACTAAAAGAAAAGTTTGAGTAAATAAAATTGGAGGAGAACTAGAAAAAAATTTTCTGAAAAATAAAAGTGTAGAAAATTTATAGAAAATTTATAGACAGCCCCATTCAAATAACGGAAGTGAGTAAACTTCCGGAGTAGGATTTTCAGAGAAAATAAAAACAGGGATTTATGGGAATTCGAAGTAAAATTCTTATTTTTCATATCTCAAAGCTAATTTAACAAAGACCGTGAAACCTGTAATTGAAGGGCACCCCAACTTTGAACCAATTTATTTCGATTCCTGTGAATGATATCAAAAAGTAGTCAACTGATAAATTTTTTATCATAATATTACAAAAATTTAAGCAGTTGACACATTTTATATATTTATTTTTTTATATATTTAGCTCTAACTTGATGGTGTGGGGGCTCTTTTACTACAGGTTTTAATAATGAATAATTAAAAATTTGGATTCTGAGTTTTTGGGATCAATAGAAAACACAGGATTTTTTTTGTGTTTTGTGTGCTCAACTATCTTCTTCTAAAACACGGACAAATAGTTTCCCTTGTTTTCCATCCCCAACAAAAAAAAGTCTCCCAAGTGATAAGAGACTCCTCGTCACAAGGCAAATGGTGTTCGTCGACCCAAAAAACAATACGTGGACAATAAAAAATGAAAAAAAAAATGGAAAGAATACGAAAAGAGATAGAAAAGAGCACTTTTCACTTTACAAAAGAGCTCCGAGAGAAAAATGGGACGGCAGAGGAGAGAAAAGAATCAAATATCATCTGGAGACACGTGAGAAATAGAGAAGAGAGATTATGTGTGATTGGAAAAAGAGGAAAAAATGAATGATGGATGATGACGTAGAGTTCGGAGGTAATTGGGAAAGAATCGAAAAAGAGCAAAATACAGAAATGAAAATGGAGAATTGGGATACCGTATTTCCTCTAATAGAAGCCTACCTTAAATTTGATCTCTATTATCTCGATTTCTGTAGAAGATTTCGAAAAGTTGTCAACTAATAAAACATTGGTCTTATTATGATTAATAATTTATCAGTTAAAAATTTTTGATAGCTCTTTTAGGAACCGATATAATTGTGCTCAAAGTTGACCATTAAGGTGGTCTTCTATTAAAGCAAATATAGTATTTGTTTGGAAAACTACGATGCGAAGAACTTTTAGTCAGATTTTAGATTAACCTTTACATTCTTTACAATAGAACAAAAATATGTACTCATTTAGCGTTTCATTGAAAAATAACCAATTTTAAAGGTCTTGAGAAATATATTCCATTCGCCAGACTAGTCTGAAATTCGACACTTTCAACTTTGACCCGATATATCTCGGTTCCTAGACAAGATATCAAAAAAATAGTAAACTAACAAAATATTTTTGATATTATGATAAACAGTTTATCAGTTTACTACGTTTTGTTATCTCTTTCAGGAATTGAGATATATCAGCTCAAAGTTTACGCTCTGGGTGGCACTGTGTTGCTATAATGTGGGTCAAAGTATGGTTACCCTTCTATTACAGTCTTTATACTACCATTTCCTAAATAACACAGACAATAATTCAATTTGAATGAAAGTTTTTCAAGTTCTCATAAAAGCAATTTTTAATTGTATTGTCCAGCTAACTGTACTCTCGTCTACTGAATTTCCGAATTTTGTGTTACGGTCAAAAAATCGAAATTCATAAAATACACGAAAAAACTCAGTGTGATCAAACTGGTTTTGAGTGGTCAATGACTCGGATTACTCGAAAATGCAAATTTCGAAAAAAACTATGACCTCAATCGTTTGGTACACACCGTAAGACCTGGGATAGAAATGCCGTTTAAGCCAATTTATCCTGTTTCCTGTAAAAGATCAAAAATGAGTCAATTGAAAAAATGTTTATCATATAATCAGCAATATTTTATCAGTTGGCAGATTTTTGATATCTCTTAAAGGAACCGAGGTAATTGAGCTCAGAGTGCACAAATAGGGAGGGCTTCTATTATAGCAAACAAGGAATCTTGGAAAATTTGTGATTTCGGTACAAACTTTTATGTTTGGAAGTTCCGAAAACTCGTACTTTGTGTGCCCGAGACTTCAAAAAAACAAAAAAAAGCCAACTTTGTGAATGAATCACATATTTTCCCAGACAACACCCCACGCTTTGCAAAATTTTTCAATGAATGGGAGAGTCATTTTCCGTTCGAAACGGAAAAAAAAACGGGGAAAAAAGTTTCCGACGGAAATCAAAAATCGGCTGAAAGAGCAAAAATTGGGAGGATGGAAAAGAAGTGAAAATCCGGAAGTTCTTCTTTTTCTTCCAAAGATTTTTTTGTTTTGTTTTGACCCGCCCGTCCATCAAAAATCTCAAAAAGATCCATCATGATTTGGAAGTTCGGGTAGCCAAGGAATTGGAAGAAATTCGTGAGATTTAGAAGAAGAGAGAGACGCAGAAAAAAGAGCTCAATGAGCTCAAAATAAAATTATATAAAAAGTTCCGATGAAAAGAACTACATGAATATTCCAAAAAAAAGAGAGAAATTGAAACATACTCTGCTCCTCTCTTTTCCCTTTTTGTCCCCACTAAAGACCTCATATACTTTTGGAAAAGAATGTGTGGGAGAGAAATTGAAAAAAAATCGGTATATGGAAATTTCAGGAAAATCCTTCAAAAATTTGGTGATGATGCAAGAGTTTTTGAGTGACGTAAAGGTGTTGAAACTCAATGCTCTTTTGCTTTTTTTATTGGTGTGGGAGGGCAAAAAAACGAGAGAGAACAACGAAAAAAAGAGAAATGTCTGATCACCAGGTTCAAAGTTTTTACTACTAGGATTCGTTTTTTTCTGGTTCTTCCGGTCACAGATTCGTTTCGAAATTTCGTCTTAGAGCTCGTAAAAATCTTCCATTGCAAAATTTGAACATTGCTTTAAAATTCAGTTTTAAAATCTGGAAACTCTTCCGTTTCTGGAAATTTCTTGAGAGTTCTAGGTTTTTTTTTTAATTCCTGCCAAAACGGAACATTCTATCTTTTCGAATCTTTTCTAGAGATGGCCTAGAATTTTCAGTTTTAGTGAAAATTCAGAAAAACCTTTTTCCGAAATGGTAAATTTTGAAAAAAAATTCAATTTTTCAAAATATGGAGCCATGTCTAGATCATTTTAATGTGGTGGCCTAACTTTCGCAAGTCGAGTTTTCTAGGGAATCGCATAAAAACATACTAGATGAATGTCAGGTCATCTGCAGGTCATTAAAGTTCAGGGCCTAGGAAACTCAATTTACAAAAGTGAAGCCACCAAGGTGAAGACATAGAAAACACATTAGGTGCATATTAGATCATTACTAGGTCACTTACTATGATAGCCCAGAGAACTCGACTCGCGAAAGTTAGGCCACCATGTTGAAATGGCGTATAAAACCCCGTCAGCTAAATATCATGTCATTTCTAGGCCAAAAAAGTTTATGGCCTAGAAAACTCGATTTGCAAAAGTAAGGCCACCATGTTAAAATGGCATAAAAATACACTAGTTAAATATCAGATCATTTCTTGGTCATAAAAGTTGGTGAATTAGAAAAATCAAGTTGAGAATGTTGGGTCACCCTACTCTTCATATGAAACAAAATTGGGAAGCTCGTTTGAACTAACTTTCAAAAACCGTTGGAAAATTCTTTTTAAAGTTTCACACTGATTTTAAGACCTTACTAGAAACGGGAACTTAAGTTTCTGGAAATGGTACTAATTTTAGAAAAAAAACATTTCAGATTTTTAAATATGAAAATTTCAATTTGCTCATATTGGAAAGCATCACATGACTTGTGACGACAGGGAAACAAAGAAAGATGAATGATGAAATAAGTAGATGAATAAACAAGGCAAAAAAACGATAGGGGGATGAGGATGAAATTGAGAAGTAACAGAAGTCTCCGAACGAAGCGCAACAATTAGCTAAAAATTATTGTCTAATTTTGCACATTTTCAGCGCATCTACCGTCTCACGGATTTTGTCGAATCAGCGACATTCTCGCATGTACAATGTGCTGCACTGCTCGCACGAATGTTCTTCAAACCAAAAACTAGTCATTCGCTCAGTTTTCATTAGTAAGTAGTTTTTCTCAAAATTTCGAGCTTAAAAATCCCGAAACATCAAGCTGAAATATCTGGAAATGTGATGAAAATTGGCTCAAAAAGAGCCCAGACCGGCCTAAAAAGCCAGAAAGCCCAAATTTCCAGATTTGTGAGATTGTGAGCTTTGAAACGAGCCCGAACACGATACAAATCGGTTAATTTTGATTTTTCGCCCAAAACACGCGACGCACGACCGCGACACACTCGAAATTTTGAATCTCTCCGAATCATGGCGTGTTTGGGCTCATTTTGAAGCTCTCGGTGAGCTCAGTTCAAATTTTGATATAT